ATACGCCGCTTGGGCTTATGACGTGGTTGTCCAGGCTCCTTGGCCGAATTGAGGGCTCAGCCTAATGCTTGCCATGGCAAAGGAACCTGACTCTTTTCTGGAATCAATTTTGAACTTCGTCTTGTTAGATAATAGTGCGCCAGTCCTGCTAGCCGTGGCCCCACCAGGCGTAAGGCTGTCTTGGACGGCTGTGGCTCCTTCAGCCGTCCGCTCTTTGCTCCAACTCCAAGTCACAGAGCTTGCCACACATGTATGCCCCTCAATCCCTTACGCCCAGACTACCATGGCGCGCAGCGGCCGGCCACGTAGATGGCCGGCCACGTTGTTGACCCGCCACCATTGAGCACTTTGCGCTCCCGCCTGCCATCCCTTTCTCGAGCTTGCGTCATTCTTTTGACTTTATCCCAAGCTTCTGTGCGAGCTCTCCTCTGGTATCACCCTCAGACCGATGGTCAAACGGAACAATTCCATCGCGTGTTTCCAAGTTGCGCCGCGCAAGCTGCTGCTCAGCGCAAGTTGCCCTGCGCAGCAATAGCTCTGGCCTTGGGGCAGCCGGCTACAGCCAAGCTGGGCGGCTGGCGATAGCCCCAGCCTATGTCCTTGGGCTACAGCTGTCCTTCAGTGTCAAGCGGACACTTTCACGGATACTTTAGGATTGAATGGCGCTTCTTGCTAGCTGCCCAGCTTCCCCACGCCTGGCCCTGGTAAGAACGGAAACCTGAGGCAGCCGTACATCAAATTGTCCCCTGACCGGGGCCGGCAGCGCGAAGCGTTTACAATTTTGAACCAGCAAGCTAGGTCATAGTGCGTCATTTGGATTTCCTGGTTTTTGAGTTCTTTGCGCGCAACCTGGGCCCCAATTCAGCGCAGATGTTGCGGAGTCTACGGTGTCCCGCATTTCTTTCCAGCTGCGTTTCGTTTTGGAAGAACCCACGCCCCTGGTTGAAGGACCAGAATTCGCCAAGCTGCGTCGAGAACGGGCTCTGGCAAAGCTCCGAATTTGCCTGGCGGCCGTGGTGAGCGGCAAGATTCGTTGGCAACAAGTCTCAAAGGCCTTCGCAAATTACGGCTTTGCTGGTCATGTTTTTTCTGGTTACCTGTTATTGGCAATTACAAGTGCTGCGAAAGATTCAACGGCGCAAAGTTAAGATATTCTATTGGTCAGCTTTTTGCTGTTTGCTGCCCTGGCATTGGCAAGCCTACAAATCAGATTGCTGAAGATCGCTGATTCGGCAGCTAGGAAGCTGTATGTGTATAAATATATGTATATATATAATTCTGTATATATATATATATATATTTATATTTGATAGTTACCAGTGTCGCCAGCCACCTGTTCTCCTCAGCGCTTACGGAAGGCAGCCCCATCAACATCCCCAGCATCACCCGCATCATCACCCGGGCAAGCGCGCAGACGCGCAAGCCCAACAACGCACCCACCAGAAGCAGATGATGCGGGTGATGCTGTTTGTTTTTGTCTTGTGCGCGCAGGAACCGCGCAGGCCCACGCAGCTTCATCAGCCTCCAGAACCTTTCCAGCCCTCAGCATAAAACCCTGGCGCTTCCCGTGTTTCCAGGGCAACGCCTTAGGCTTGCGGCGGAAGGCAGCTCCCATCAGCATCCCCAGCATCACCCGAATCACCCGGGCAGGCCTGCGCACCCACAAGCCCAAGCCTGCTGAACCTCCATTCAAAAGCAGGTCCAAACACGCACCCGGCAGCAAATGGAGGCTTCCAACCATTTGCAACAGCTGACGCAATGTTTGTTGTGCAAACGGTCCATAAGTAGGCGCCGTGCCGGTGAACTGAGTGATAGACAATGTCAAGCGGAAACCCACTCAGCATTTTTCTTCATGGTCGCTACGAAGTACGTCTCTCCTGCAGCCCCTGTCCGCCTTGCTTTGCACGGACTGACAACGTTCAGCCCAAATGTCTGCTACCAAACAACCATGCCAAAACCCCCCCCCAAAAAAAAAATCACACACACTAAAAACCCAAAAACCACATTGACAAACCCAAAACCCTAAACCCCGAAATGCCAATATGAACCCATCGGCCAATAGCCAGAGCCCAAGTCACAAGACTACATACATTTTGTTTACGTATACTGTATCATAATATATATATATATATGGTACCCCCCCATTGGACATTTTGAGATCATAAATTTTGAGATTCTAGATTTGCCATCCCCAAAAAGCAGTAAAACCAGGGTCCATGGGGGGGGGGGGGTAGCATATATATGAATATATATGTGTATACATATTATATATATATATATATAGACTGGGGTTCGTCCATATTCCTGGCACAATGACCATGCGTAACTTTCCGCATGTGGGAACTATGGACATTTTGCTGGTTTTCCCCAATTGTCATTACATGTACAGGACCCTTTTGATCAATCCCCATATATAGACCCACCTTGAAGATGCAAAGCAGATCCTTCAGAGGCCTTTGACACAGTGGTCAAATATTTCCCGAGGAAAAGCCCAAAGGGAACTCCTGTCTAAAATACCTGAGGCACCCAACGTGCTCTTTTTTTTAGGTACGAGAAAAAATGCTCGAATTTCCGATTTCTGCTCGACCCCGCAAAAAACGCTCGCACCCCGAAAAACGCTCGACCAAATCCCTTCTTCCATCCAGAGGACGGCCGGCATTGTTACGCTTTTTGAATTTGCACTCGTTTGCGGATATTTGCGCTCGTTTTGCGGATATTTGCGCTCGTTTTGCACTTCGAATTCTGCTCGCTCCTTTCGAAAATTCAGCGACCGATCATCTTGGAGGACCGACCAGCCCAGTTTTGGGAAAAACGCTCGAAGCAGGAAAAAGTGTACATTTGCCGTATTTTGGTGACGACCCCTGGTTTTGCAATACGTTTGGGCTAAGGGCAGAAATTTAGGTAACGAAGGGTGCTCCAGGTAAAACTCAAATCCGCCGACAACAGGCGGCGTGTTGGACATAAGAAATGCTCCTTACCTCTTTACAGACTATTGCGGGGGGGGGGGGGTCCACGTACCACGCGGTGATTCGAAGACGCTTCACTAAATCTGTTCATTGTGCGGGCTTGCGCTTTCGCATCCTTAGCAGCTCCAGCGGCACATCGCCAGCATCACCTGCATCATCCGCATCAGCGCATGCCAAGGATGCAGATGATGCAAGTGATGCTGGGGATGTTGCCCATGCTGGTGAAGGAAATGAAGGGGGGAAAGGGGGAAAGGATCTCAACAGCGAAAGGCGGGGAAAGATCTTAGGGAGGAAAGGGAGCAGATCTGGGGACAAAGGCCTTAGGGGGGAAAAGGGAGAAATGATCTCAACAGGGAAGGGGTGGAAAAGATCTTAGGGAGGAAAGGGAGAAGATCTGGGGGAAAAAAGGCCAACAGGGAAAGGGGAAAAAGATCTAAGGAAGGAAAAGGGAGAAGCTCTCAGGGGGGGGAAAGGCCGAGGGGGGAAAGGGTGGGAAGGATCTCAACAGGGAAAGGGGGGAAACAATCTTAGGAAGGAAAAGGGAGAAGATCTGGAAAGGCCGTAAAGGGAAGGGGGGAAAGGATCTCAACAGGGAAAGGGGGCAAAGGATCTTAAGGAGGAATAGGGAGAAGATCTCAGCGGGGGGAAAGGCCGTAGGGGGGAAAGAGGGGAACGGATCTCAACAGGGAAAGGGGGGGAAAGATCTCAGTGAGGAAAGGGAGGCCTGTAATGTCGGCGGCCTGAGCCGGAGGCACTAAAATAGGAGGTACAAATAAAATTAATTAGAAGAAGCAACCAGCTTGTCTTTCTTCGCCAGGTTCCTCTCTTGAATTATAATTAAAATCCTGCTTGGAAAGGAATTCATGTTAACAATATCACTCACAATGAAATTTGCAACTGAATTGTACAAAACTCCAATGGGAACCTGCTTGGAAATAATTTCCTACGTCAAATCGAATTCAACCCATCAATCCCAACGGAAGCCCTGCTTCAGCTTAAAGCCTTCCAGATTAAAACTTGTAAACCAATAGAACTGAAATCGCATTTTCCCTGGATTTCTATTGGATATTCACACCTTGTTAAGGGGCAAACAAGCTAGACGAACAACCTGCGTGTCTTTCTTTGTTCGATCCTATCAGATTCTAACCTATTTTCATACAACACACTTGCTCGAAAGGAATTATTGTTTAAATTCTATGTGAAAATAATAATAGTTTATTAGAAGAAACAAACAGCTTGTCCTTCTTAGCGGGTTTCTATTTCAACTCTAATAAAATTATGCTTGGACAGGAACTCGGGTTTAATATCTAATCCAAATCAGAATTATAATCAACTTAATTAGAAGAAACAACCAGCTTGTCCGTTCTCATTAGGTTCTATCTGAATAATAAGTATATTTTTAAATCATAATCCTACTTGGAAAGAGATTCCTGTATAGACTCTAATTCGAAGTAAGAAGTCCAGTTGACTTCTAGTAAAATTAATATTTAAACGTAAAGCTTTGCAATAAAAACCTCATGTCATAAACCAATCGAGCTAAAATCGTATTTGCCCTGGATAAAGTTGTTCACTCCTTTTAAGAGGCAGGCAAACTGCTAGAAGACGTGAGGACAAATGCTTTCAGTGGATGGCCCTCTCCCCATAACCCAGAACAAAAAAACTGACAACGAAAAACCAACTAACAAGGGTCCTCCAGACGAAACAAGAAAAGACAAGTTGTATGAAAACAAGAAACAAGAAACAATAAACAGGACCTCCATGTTGAAACTGCAAAACAAGAAACAAGAAGCCAGGGTCCTCCAGAAGGGCCCTAGCAACAGAAACACAAGAAACAAAACAACAAAAGTCAGGGTCCTCCGGAATTCCGGAAGTTGGGCCCCAAACCAGTAAAGCACTAAACAAAACGGAGAAGGAAAAAAACAGCCCAGGGTCTATGAGATAAATGCTGGAGGACTCCTCTTCTTTCTTGGGTGTTGCTGGTTTGGGCTCATCTTCAGTCTGTTCTTTCTGGTTCTATTTTTTCGGGTTTCGGGCCCATCTGGAGGACCTTTGTTTTCTCCTCTGCTCTGTTTTTCTTGCTCCCCCGTCTTGTTTTTTGGTTTTTGCTTTTGTCTTGTTTGCTTTTTCTGGTTTAGGATTGGTCCGGGGGGTACTGCGTATAATAGATTGACATGTGTTGGTCCATGGTTTGCTGCATGTTGCTCCCCCAAAATGTAAAACAGTCCCTCGCCCCAACTGATCCCACCCCCCAAACTGACGTGAGACCCATGGCCTCAATCCCTAAGGGGCATGCGAGTAAGCATGAGCTGGCTTCTTTAAAGCCACACTCTCCAAATGATCTGTTTCAAAGCTCAAATCCAGGCCTGCCAACAAACACCTACAAACTCAAACAGTGCAACTGGAACGCGCAGCTGCCAGAACGCATGCGACAACTACGCGCCAGCCCCAATGAAGCAACACGAATTACCCTGAAGGCACCCCGACCTCCATTTGCATCAGTCCCCAGGAAAAAAAACAGTAGTGAAATCAACTCCCTTTAAAACCAACACAGAAACAAAAAAACACATTGAGCAAAGGGAAGCCGAAGCAATCAGTCAAGGGGCCGAACCGCCGCACTCAAAACCTTTGCCCCGAAGCGCCTGGTGAGCCACCTGCTCGAGAAGGTGAAGGCGAGCGCGGCCCAACGCCTCGTGGACGCAAAAGCTCCGACCAGAAACGCGGCCACGAGGTTCTTGGACTGTGTCCCCCAGCTAGGTGCCCTTTCTCGCCTCTTTGGTTGGGAGGGTTCCCCTACTACAAATAGACCACAGAAAAAAGGTTGATACCTAGTGGAGGCCGACACTAAGAGCCCGTGCCTGGGTCACTTTGCAGGCATGACTGGCATGGCTTGCCCTGCCAAAGAACTTGATTTGCCTTGGACAAGATCCGGCGCCTTCGGTGCAATTGCTCGATCTTTCGGGGACTTGATGCCTTGCCAGTCGGCCAGATTCTGTAACTGGCCATGGCACGGATATGAGGTGGCCACTCAACCAGAAGGAGTGCTTGCCCCAGCGCGCCTGCAACACCTCTTCAGGGACGATGGCTTGCGGCGGCTCAATGTACCTTGTTGCTCCGAGTTTCTACAAACATGGCGCCTACCAATCCTTTCTGAAATCAGCAAACAAGAAGCCATAAAAAACATGCAACACTTGAGCACATGAGATGTATCGACATATTCCTACTCAGCTCTGCCAGGCCCTACCACAAAAGGTACCTTCCTCCCAAACCCATGCGGTTTATTGAACACAGCGGCCCAGGCCACCCCGCCTCATAACAAGTTGAACTGCCACGCTCCCAGAAGAAACCATGCTGAGACACATTTGAGTGTGGGAGTGTCTCTGCCGCACTCTGTCTGTGGCTCTAGAAGTGTCGATTGGATAAATAGATAGCAAACTGCAAGGGCTGGGCCCCCAAACTAAATGCCTTCCTTGTGGGTCGAAATGCTTGAGGGGACCAGGGTGGTTGTCATGTTGTGGCCGCTTCAGCTGCGTTGCTGTTGTGCATCCAACACCATTTGCGTATCATGCACATCAGCGTTGCCCTTCGCAGACTACATGTCACTACACAAACGGAACGTCAGACTGGGATGCATGGGCAAGCAAAGGAGGGTACAATTCTAGGGGTTGATTCCCCATTCTTTCCAACCATCGTTCTTTTCAAAAACCAGCTTCCCTGGGTTTCCGGAGGTTTTCTAGAAAGAAGGATCCCTGGAAAGCATGGGGAAGGTACCCCTAGAACAATGCGGAAATCTCGGATGGCTGCAAATCAAAGCCCAACAACGTCCTTCGCAGTTCGCTGGGGTCTCAATTTCCGGCCCCATTATTTTACCATGATCAAAGTCACCCCCTAAGTGCTGGGTGAAAGGGACACAGCCCCATTTTCTGACTTTGATAACCCCCGGAAACAGTCAAATTAATGACCCCTGAATTTCTTCGTCTCGATCACTCGCTCTTGGGGTGGGGGGGTCTGCTCGCTGGGAGATGTCCGGGGCCTTGCGTCACGAGGCCAACAAAGAGCTTGAGCCGCGATTTTCCTTCCACTGGCCATGGCCCCAAAAGACATACATATGTATGTCTATATATATATATAATACACTATATATATATATATATATATGTACATATATGTACACATATAATACATATGTATATATATATATACACATATATATATATATATAGATAAAGCTTGCTTTTGGGTGCATGGCAAAGGCATAGATACACAGCTTTGTTTTGGGGGCTGAGGTGTTTGTTTTTTTGCATAGCCCTGGCATTAGCCTATCCCTGGCACAGCCTGGAGACACTAACAGACAAAGGTTTGGGGTAGTTTAGGGTAAGCTTGGGGTAGTCCGTTTAGGGTAGGTTCAGGCCCGGCATCGTTTCAGCATCGTTTTCAACATCCTCAGCATCACCAGGTTTTGGTTTAGGCTGGGTTTAGGGTGGGTTCCAGGTTGGCTCAGGGTTGGCTCAGGGTTGGCTCCGGGTGGGTTTTAAACCTATTGAGAACATATTTGGGGGTGGCTGTGCTTGCGGCAGATGGTTCAGTGCTGGTTTATGGTGGGGCTACTTAGTGGCTGGTCTCGGGTGGGTTTAGGGCCGTTTCGGCCACGGTCGTGTTTTCGGCCAAGAAGCTCCCCCATAAACCAGCACTGAACCATCTGCCGCAAGCACAGCCACCCCCAAATTTGTTCTCAATAGGTTTGGAACCCACCCTTAGCCACAACCTGAACCCACCCTAAACCCAGCCTAAACCAAAACCTGGTGATGCTGATGATGTTGAAAACGATGCTGAGGATGTTAAAACGATGCCGGGCCTGAACCTACCCCCAAGCTTACCCTAAACCCACGCTGAACCCATCCCAAACCTTTGTCCCACCGCCAACCAACCAACCAACCAAGCCAGCCAGCCAGCCAGCCAGCCCACCAACCCACCAACCCACCAACCCACCAACCCACCAACCCACCAACCCACCAACCCACCCACCAACCCACCAACCCACCAACCCACCAACCCACCAACCCACCAACCAACCAACCAACCAACCAACCAACCACCTGCCAGGGTTAGCCCTGTGCCAGGGCCAGGCCAAAAACAAAAAACACCCTTTCCTTCTTTTGGGTGTCCAACAAAAAAAGACAGATCTGCAGACCTGGGAGAAGCACGAGAAAAAGGAATCCACTAGGCCCAGCAGGGTCCTGGTCTCTAATGGCCCTATCCAAGCGCGGATGTACCATGGCTGTGATTCTAGAGTGCCAGAACGTAAAAACTACAGATGTGTTCTATGAATCAGAATGTTCAACTTGTTCCGAGAGGAAGTGAAACAAACTTGATTTGTGTCAGATTTGTGGTGGCTCGCCCATCCTTCCTCATTAACCGAAAGCCACCAATATATTGTCTGCATGCGTCCGTGGCCAGCCAGTCGATCAGTTTGCAAGGTCTCAAACGCAGGTGGCAAGCCCCCCCAGTCGACGAGCAGCAATGGCACGGTCCCAACCTGTCCAGACGTGGGCCAAACTGGAAACCTTCGCGAGTCAAAGTCGAACAGGTCTGCACTGGTTTCATCCACCAGCAGTTTATGAACCAAACCCACACTTTGAAGAAACACATGTGAGTAATGAACGGAAAAAAAAGATGTCATCAAACAGTAGATTCTGAAGTACCGTACCTGCCGCAAAGCACTCAACTCCACACACAGTGCCCGACTGAATGGTCTTCATAGGTGAAAGTGGTCTACTTCTGGTCGGCGAGCTTCAATTCGTGCTGAATGCCGATGTGCTTTGAGATGCTGATCCGAGGCAAAACAAGGGTGTTGGAACTACTGCAGTGAGAGACTCAACTTGCTTGACCAGAACATGTATCACCACTTGAACAACCGAATGTCAATAGGTCGTCCTTGGGCAAGTGAGACTGTCATGCTTCCCCAGACTAAGGTGAAGCAACCACAAGACATGACCATCCATGAAGTTGCTGCTCGTGCTGAGTAAGATTGTACAACTGGCCGACAGATATGTATACATATATATATATATATATGATGTATGCGCGTATGCGTTGCCAAAGCACCTAAACAAAATGGCGAGCGGTGCTACACAACATATTGATCAATTTTGATCGATAGCAATGCATTACATCCGGCAACAAGAAGTGACATCGCACGCATCATGTCAATTATTGGGTTGATTGTGTTTCAGGGGGTCTCCTCTTAAATTGAAAAAAACAAGTAGTCTCTGGATTAAGCCCCGAGATAAGTTGATGAACGACCACCCCGAGGGCCAACTTGACCCAACTTGTTCGGACTCCATGGAAATTAAGCACCTGCAAAACATATCCCTTCCATCCCTTTAAGGGAAACCAAGAAACCAACAGCAAGCTGCAAGTGTGCCCGGTGGTGCTGTCTATGTGGGAGCGCGCAATGCACGCAAACAAAATTGGTGTACCTCCGTGTGCGATAAATTACCCCTTACTTGCATCCCTGTACGTGCTCAATGTTCAGTTGGTCCATTGAAATTAGCCGTTCCCCTGACATGAGCCATTCCCATCATCCGTTTTCTTGCCTTCACAAAGAATTCCCAGGCTGTTAAATGTGCCAGAGGAACACGTTTAAGCTATGGGAACCTGGATGACTCACGCAGGGATGCCCCCACTTGACATCAGATCTGGATCACTTTTCGCGGGACAACCCATTGATTCCGCGAGATTGATATACATGTACATATATATATATATGCAATGAGCATTACAAATGCACCGGCAAGACCTCCAACAGCCAGGTCATGATCAGCAAACAGAAACCCAACCCTGCTGGATGGCTGCCTTTCTCAAGGCCCCAAGTCCAACGAACACAAGGGGCTGCACCTGGACGACTCAAAAACGACCTGACCTTAAAATCCAACGCCAAGGACTGTCTGCCCGCCTCCATTGGCCGCGAAGCAGCGAATTGCACTGAATTGGGAGCAACTTGATTTTGCCAGCGTTGCACATTGCACAGTATGGGAGTAAGGAAAAGTTGCAACATATTCTTTTCATCGTTCGCCCGCTTAGCAGTGATCATGATGCAGCTAATTACTCAATGGCGATTGAACCCGCCACCCACTACTACCATGGACTGGAGGCCCCGGGAGCACCCTGTTTTCTCTTAGGAACATTCTGGTGGCTCCAAGGAAAAAAAGGGTAGTAACTTAGTCCAGAATTTTCTGCCTGCCCAAACCAGAAAGGGTTTTGCATTTTCATACATCGTGAGGCCGTTGCAAAGGGCCAACATGCCAAATCAATCCGAGCCCAACCGACTGGAGCACTGCCGAAACCGAACATTTCACAAAAATCAAACGGCGGCTGTGTCCCAAACAGAAACAAGCCTTGCACCATCAAATTGCTGCTTGTCCCAAAGGCGCATCCACATCTTGTTTTCCGTTCTGCAGTGGCGTCTGGGCTAATGACTCAACTTCTGGATTCTGCTAAATGCGCCCTCTCGCGGCTGAGCCTTTCAGCATTGCAAAGAGTCAAAAACCGCGCGGCGCACAAGACATGGTCATCAGTGCCATGGCAACATTGGAAAGTGAAAAGCTAAGTACGATCCAGACATTTCCATCAGGCATGATGATATGGCTGTGGTTTCCTCAAAATCGCGTCACCCCATCAAATGGCTTGCCCATTTGGAACCAAAGACCAGAAACCCCGCGGTTTTTCCGGGTGGTTTCATTTTGACCCATTGGCACCTCGAGCTTCCTTGATCCGAGTACAAAAGGACCACCCGTTTTGCGGATGACCAGCACTGCAGCTAGGGCCAAACAAAATTTGCTTGAGAAATTAGGTGGGTAAGGTGCCAATAAATTCCCATCTGAGTTCCGATCAACAGACATGATACCGATCTCAAGTCAACTAAGGAACATAACAAGATGTTCGCTGCAAATGCGCTAGCTTGCAGCTTGCAGTCTCGGCCGCTTCATGATAACGTGAAGAAGGATTCCAATCGCCTGGTCTGCGGTGTGTTTGTATCTGAATGTGCTTGGATAGATTATTGTTGCCTTTAGCCTTGACCAACAGTGACAACTTTGGGTACCAAGAAACAGTGGGATCAGGTTGATAAGATTGTGCATGATGGAGGATGTACTATGCGTGTTGAACTAGAGTTGGCACAGTGTTCAAGTGATTGTCTTACACACTGTGTTGTCTGGGCTTGATTGACCACACCGTCGCGTTCTGTGTCAACCACCATGTGTCATGGCAACGGTCCTCGCTGTACTCCCAGGTATGTACTGGTATCTTCAAGCTATCAGTGTTCCAGATTGCTGCATGTTTGGAAATTGTGAAACGAACCAGCTCGCAGAACATTTCATGGCTGCTTACAACAGCTCGCACTTGACATGTGTATTCCGCGGTACAACCCACTGCTATCATATCTATTGGTGAACAATTAATGTTCATGATGTCTGTATCAGAGAGCGCTTTGAGCACTCCGGAACTCCAACATTGGAGCATTTGAACTGACTCAAGCTCCTCAGCTATCAGTGCTTATGAGGAATGCAACAAAAGTAGATTAATCAATTCCGCCTAGAGCCACCATGGCTTCAAGCCTGTGCAAAAGACTGGCAAGCCCCTCGTTCCCCACCTGTTGTGAATTGGCGTCCAAACTAGGCAAGAATCTCCCTTTCCTCCATGGCAATATGAAGAGCTTCCACCTGAAAAACTGTTGAGCAACCTCAGAGGTGCTTGCCTCCACAGCTCCGCGCGCGAACAAATATACAAAGCCGGCAAACGTGCTTTTTGTCCGGCTCGGCAACGGCCCGGCTGCCTTGCTGCATAGGCGAGCAGTTGCTGAGTTACAGCTCGGAGCAAATCTCAGATCGGCAAATCTATGTACAAAATACAAATGCGTAACTCTGTTGTGCCACCTATGTATATTACTTTAGGAATTACTTTTGCATCATGCCATTTGATCTGTAATACGTCCTGTTCTTTACATCTCATGAATCAAAACACGGAAATGACAAAACAACATAACGTAAAAGTGAAAAGGATAAGCGGCCCAAAACCTGCACAGGGACAAAAACTGGAAACTTCCGAAATCTCCGAAACCAGCACAGAGCGGAAAAAAAACAAACAAGTACCTTGCTTCAAGCCATCCATTCGTCAAAGAGGTCACTCCATGCGACCACAATCCGGCTGCCTACCTTATGACTTCACGGTCTCGGACATCTGCGCAGGGCCCAAAAGCAAAGAACCTTAGGAGGTGAAAGCCTTTGAAACCTGAGGGCCCAAACGAGTCTGCAGACAGCTTCCGTTTCAAATCAGTTTCCCTTTCAACCCTCGAAAGACGAAGCTGCTGCCATAGAGAAGGCACAACAAAACACGAATACTGCGTTTTACTGTTATGTGGAAAGGCGCTGCAGAGTGGACATGGCGCTTTTACATGTCTATATACATATACATACATGTGCGATTTGAATCGGAAACATAGTTTTCGCGCTAATTGAATGACTACTGGGAACAGTTTCAAATTAATTGAGTCATTGAAACCACATTCAAGCAGATTCAGAACCGTGCTGCCAGGTTCAAGGGGCAGCACTCTCGACAAAACTGTGGGGCAAGCATACATCTGTCGCTCACAAAAAAAGGTGACAGCCTTGTGAGATTCGACGCCCGCTTCGCTTCTGTATTTGCGATTTGAACATCCATGCACGCGTGGCACTAGCGCTTTCGTCGTGACAAGCATGGAGAGACACTTGCCTTTCAGCCGAAGAAGGCAGGATAAAGCTAGCTAGCCTGCCTCAAAACCCGAAAGATGACAAATCCATACGGGAGACTTCTCCAGCCAATTTTGCCCAGAAAGCAAGACACAATTCTGGCGCTAAGTGATTTCACATGCAACCACCAAAGCGAAGGGCTGGGGATGCCCGTCTGACAAAACCACAGTCCTGAATAAGATAGAGGAAGCTTGCAGCGATGAGGCATAGCACATACTACCACAAGTCTCACCCACCCCCGAAGCCGAATCAGCAACCTAGTTCATTGCGAAACCTGAGAGCTAGCAGCTGGCAATTGGAGACCCCATTGAATTTCTGTGATTTTCATCTATGCCAATCGTTAGCCATACCTCAGGGATCCTTACATTACACACCTGAACATTGCCTTGTAAATGGTGGTTTCCTTTTTGGTGTTGAAAAAGCCATGTTTCAAATGGGCAAACTGAATTTCTTAGGAGCCCTGTACCTGCTTGGTTGTTTGCCGCCAGAACTTCACTCTAAGCCCAGGGCAGAAAGCCTCACGTTCCAAAGGGGAAAACCCCTACCTTCCATTTGCTCAAGTCCCTGAAAAGAACGCGGAAAATGCAGTAATGACAGATTCCCTTTAAAACCAACTGGGGAGAAACATACACTCCAAAACCGCTCGGTGCGCTGTGCGTGATGCGTTGCGGGCACTCGCGCATTGCCCGCAACTCGTGCCTAGGGCCCACTAATTCAGCCCCAAGACCTTTGGGCACGAGACAATGGCGCGCCTGAAAAGCTGCGGCGCTTCCAAAGAAATGGGCTGCAACGCTTGTCCAAAACGAGAATCAACGCCGATCGTGAATCAAAATGACAACTGGAAAGTCATGAGGTCAATAGGTTCACTTACTCGATATCTTCAATGCCACCCACAAGCCGCGGCCACCATAGCTCCATTTACTGCCTGTCAGTATTGATTTGTTAAGACTTCCAAACAATCACAAGCATAAAAGCAGCACAGGTTTACTCTAAATCTGAACCTTCTGGCTCAACCATAGATGGTGGAACGCGTACACGAAGACTTCACGTTTGGATTCAGGGATCCCCGTTCAAGGCTGTTCAAAGCTACCTTCTTGGGAAAGTAAATGAGTCACAAGGTGTAGGATTCCTTGTCCAAATGTGCCAATTCTGCACGAAGCGGCAGGACGACCCTTGCCGGCTTCGGTGCGAAATAGTCTGAGGATACCTACAGCCTTACATTTGAACCCACGCCTGAGTGTGCCTGGTCTTTGCAGGAGATATGGAATGTCATTCAGCCCGTACCCATGTCAAACGTTGACTGGTGTCAGCACACCTGGCAGTTTACATAAACAGGTTGCGGGGTCAAGATAGTGTGAAGCAGCAGACAACACCTATGTCAAACAACGCCAAAGAAGCCATAAGGGCGATTGCGATTCTACTTTGCACAGATGGTCAACACTGCCCTCCAGACTGTCAGAGAGTGTAGGCTCCAAACGAGTTCTTGTGAATTCGGTTTTGAGGTTCGGCCCGGATAATGATTAGAAGGTGTCCTCCGTTTCCAGGCGCGCGGATCGCTCTTCGTCTTTGCACTCCTCGACTTTTCAACGGACAGGTGGATGGGTTGATGCACCCAGCAAACACAGGAATATATACATCCATGACTTGCCCTGTGGGTGGTGGACAGGGCTTGAGAGGATGGAAATCATTTTGCGCGCTCGGCTCCGTTAGCTTCCACCCCCAAAGATCCAGCGTTGGACTTGGTACCTGGCGCTCGAATCCCGAGTGAAGCGCAGAACCAAAGACTCCTAGCTCCGAGCTCGTCAGTTCGTGGATCGCTTCCAAAGAGCCAATACAGTTCATAGACTTGTGGCTTCCGTTAGGGCCCAACAACAAGTATGGGTGACACGGACCGAACCCTGAGTACACAAAGCCTTCACCCGAGAACCTGAGGTCACTTTCAAGTTGTGGTTCCCTTCTGCCGGGAAGCCCCGGACAAATGGCCGGGAGGCTGAGGTCAACCCCGGTTCACCCCGGTATAGCATGTTCATTCGGAACAACACGGTATCTGCCTCACTGCTGTGATTCGGTCACAACAAGTTCAAACTGTACCGCCTGCAAACGCTTGTTTGCATGAGACATAGAGCATTGCCCAGTCAAGACTCTAATCATGGATGGGCCCGCTAGTTTTATCGCCCCCGCTTCTGAGCTCGCTAGTGTCTGTCACAGTCAAGACAGAGTCAGCCCCATTGTAGTTTGAAAGTCTCAGTTTG